TTATATTTTCAAGAATTTATATCAAATATTTTATAATATAATATAAATTAAAAAAAACCTATTTAATTTGGTACATATTCTCAAAAAGGGTTATTTATTTACGAAAATCTTATGGGTAAGTTCAATTATTATAAAAAAAAAATAATAACAACAACATATTATTGATGCAAGTTGATGGGTGCTTAGAAATATGTCTATTCAGACTTTGACACGTATGTATCTTATGAAACAAACAAGTGGAGGCCATGACAGCTACTGACCACCAAAATATCAACTTGGAGGTGATGTGGGACCCACATACCTTTTTATTTTATTTTTGTGGATTTTATTATAATTTTTTTTAATTAATATTTGATAAACTCATAATCATTCAAAAAAAAAAAAAAAATGTTGTTAAGTAAACTTCATATATATATATATATATATATATATATAAAGAGAGAGAGAGGAAGATGACCAAATGAGAAATTTGGGAATTAATCTCAACCATCTAATTATTTTAATTGTATTATAATTTGAGATCATTTTTTTACATTTGAAACTTCACAACAAAACATGATGAATGTAAAAAAAAAAAATTGAACATTCGCAGCAAAAACACTATGAATGTTACCTTCACAACGTTTTACTGTGAAGTTTCAAATGTTAAAAAATGGTTTCACAAAAACAAACTGGGCCTCACATGAATCCATCTCTCAATGTACGTTTTGAAATAATAACAAATCAAATATGCTATTGCTATGATTTAGTTAATTCGTATCTTTCATGTCAATTTGTCAAATGTGAAAATACTTTTTCTTATTATTGAAAAGCTAATTTATAACTTTTTTGTTGTTGGAATATAACTCATGCTTATTACCAGTTAATATAATGGTTATAAACTAATGTCCATTAAAACGTTTACTTGGTAATTATCGATAAAAGTCAACATTGTCATTTAACTTATCGCATTAAATTTTATTCCATTTAAAACGCATTGTATGCAACAATTTACCCGATAGGAATTGTCGCTCTCAGTTACCAAGTAATACTTGCGATGACTATCATCGTTTTTACCATACAAGATTCTCGATTTTTGTCATACTCATCTGGTAAGAAGAGTAATCCGATAAAGACTTACCGAGCCATTAACTCGAGTCCTTTATATTAAATTCAATATTAATTACTAGTTGTTTTAAAGTTGGTAAAAAAAAATTAGTATTTTAAAAGTTTCTATAAAATATTAGAGGTATTGAAAATGGAAATTTGTACAATATTTATATTTTTTTAAGTATATAATATTTATATACGACAAATAAACTAACACACTCTCCTTATCTTTAATGATGTATGAAACATTGACCTTCTAAAAAGCCAAAAACTCACATACTGTTACGGAAAAAACCATTTTGTTACAAAATTTATATTTTGGATTAAACAAACCCCAATTGATGAACAACTTGTTGAATTCTATATTGAATTTTAAATATTAACTTTTAATTAAAATATAAAATAATTATTGAAGTGGAATGAAAGATAAACATGCCTAATATTGAAATTTAAAAATTCCCACTTGATCATGTGTTTTAAAAAACCAAATGGATATGATTGGACCAACTTGAAAATACAGATATTCATGTACGGTCAGATACGAAATTCAAAAAAGTATCATTAATATATCATATTCTACGCAGAAACATAAAGCGCAAGCAGTAAAATGCGTTGAATTGGGCATGGAGCCCGAAGTCCCCGTGTGGTAATATTTTTCTACAAATAAGTATTTATTCAAACCACGATTTTGTTTCGCGTAACGATTACACTAATATATAGAATTGCCAGAATACCCAGATAGAAATATAACAAACAAAAACCACGTCATGTTAAAGAAAAACGTACATTGTTTGAAGTACTGATTAGCATAACAAAGTTGTTTTGGGAAAATGACTTGTTTTAGGGAAATGGTCACGAGTCTTCGCAGGCGAACCTTGTCATAAGGGTTTCGGTAGCGTCTGGAAATGAATATGAGAAGGATATTTTTTTTGTTTAAAGGTTTTCCTACACCCAAACTAACTAAATGTTTTTGGTCATCAAATAGGTCCCTAAATACGTTTAAGGATTAAGGGGTTGTTTGGCAGTTGCTGAATGGTTTGATGCAGAATGATTAAGTGGTCAGAATGATTAAGAGGCTCTCATGATATAATGCAAAATGAAATATAATTGTTTGGTAATTGTTTACAATGAAATTAGGACGCTGAATAGTTAAGGGAGGCTCAATATACAAAATCGTTCAGAGGGTTTTAAAAACCATTAAGATGCAGATTTTTTTTTTGCCAAATAAGATTCACCTCTTAGCGATTCAGAGACGTTTTCTTATAATTTTGTGTTGTTTTGAGAGATCGAAAGTGTTATAAATTGATTATATGTTTTATCATTTACAGAATATAATGATGTATTAGTAGCCTAGTAGGTCAACATCTGTATGTACTCAGATGATTTTATCATTAGGTTATCATTTAGTATGAAATTAAACATTAAACTTTTAAGAAAAACGTATAGTGATTGAAGAATGATCAAGACTTTAAGAGGTTCATATACTTTAATGCAAACTGCAATATTCTTTGTCAGTATTTGTACGTCTCATATTTAGAAAATGAAAGCTGAAGGACTCAAACTCAATGTTGCTCTCGTCCAATGGGAACTCTCGGTTTGATTTTCCGTCTGTATCTCAACAATCCATGTTTAACATGTGTTAGTGTCATAAACCATATCAATATATGCATTTATTCCAAGTTTGAAATTAAAAAAACTGAAGGGTTCTCTCTTAAACCATGAGCTGCTTTCCATAAAATAATACCCGTTAATATTATCAGACTGTTATTGATCTTCAGATCAAATTAGAACTAGAATCAGAGGATCATGTCGAGAATTTGTGTAAATCAATTCACAGCTAACAATTGACGTGATTTTCAACTTATGGACAACGAATTCGAGAGAACAAACAGTTGCTCAACCTCAATCAGACCTCCACTCCAACTCAACAGACCACTGCTTTAATTAGAGTTACATATCTGAACTCCCTCTGGATATGCTGAGTTTATTTGGTGTCTTGCTCGAGGTGGTAATGATCTACAACAGAGAAACAAAAGTCAGGACTGATTACCTACGAAACGTGAAAAAACTTGAGAGAGTCACAATAGCAAAAGTAATGGGGAATTAAATGCTTTTGTATCATACCAATGCATGATCATTGATAATTTTCATTTGAAAGTTTATACCAAATAATGGACAAATTGCATGCCAAAAATAACGTACTTTAACTTGATTCATATTTTGGGTAATGTACTCTCAAAACCTTCATTTTAGTATATAAGATGTAAAGTTTCAAATATTTAAGTATATGGGTAACTGGTTGAAGGATTAATCAGTTACCATGTTGAGTTATGTGATATCCACCTCAGTATTATTTGTTGAATCATTAATCGGATATCATATCACTCGTCACATCAACATGGTAATCGATTAATGTTTTAACTGATTATCTGGATACTTAAATATTTAAAACTTTACATTTTAAATACAAAAAATAAAAAATTTAAAAATACATTGTTTAAAACAAAAATCAAGTTAAAATTCTTTACTTTTTCATGCAATTTATTCCGAAATATTTAATAACATGAAAATAAAATATTAATATTATTTTATACAAGGTAAATGATTTAAAATTAAATTAAACCGGACCATAATTACCGGCGTCGAATGGTTTTCCAGGAATCACATATCGACACGTGTCGAGACGGTGCGTGCTGTCCTTTTCCAATCACCAAAAGCAAGGAAAGGACAAATTCACCAGAAGGAATAGATTGACACGTTTCATTTTCTGGTTCCTCCACGTCACCACAACATCGCCTGACAGCTAATCTAGTGAGAGTAAGTTAGAGAGAGAAAGACAGAAAGCTCTTTAAACAGACTCTATGGGATTTACTATACACGTGGCGATGACTCATACATATTTATTATATAGCTACGTGTCAAATTCCGATACGTTTTCCAAAACGCTAGTTTCGGCGTTTCTTTTCGTTTTGTACTTACGTGGGTGACTCTCCCACCTCCACGTGTCAACCCGTCCATCGTTTTCATCGTTCAAGGGTACTTCCGTCATTTTATTTTCTCCATATATTAAAACCCTCCCCCTTTTTCTCTCCTCGTCTCACATTCTCCCCTTTCTCTTTCCTTCGCCGGCGGTGGAAAATCTCATTATTTTCCGGCGAAGATTCTTTCCGATTAGGGTTTCTTCTACAAATACTGAGATAAATCTCGTGATTTTGTTACAATTTCTGTGGATGATTGTTTAAAATTATGGCGAAAACTGGAGATTCAAGCTTTCCTAGGGATTTGTTGCAGAGATTTACGTGCGGAGGCCATCGTTTACCGGTGAAACCAAAAGAGGAAGCTCATGGACGGCCGGAGAAGGTAGAGCTGAGTTTAGGTTTATCATTAAACGGTAGATTTGGGATGGAGTCACAAAAATTGGTGGTTAATGATGATAAGAACGATAACAAGCTATTTCGTGCTTCATCTGTGACCGATTTCGTTAATATTCCGGTGGATGTGGAGTTGTCGTTGTATTCTCCGTTGACGAGGACGTGTTCTCTTCCGCCGGAGACGGAGGCGGAGTGGAGGAAGAGGAAGGAGTTGCAGTCGTTCCGGCGGTCGGAGGCGAAGCGGAAACGAGTGGAAAAGCTAAAGAATGTGAGAGTGGTTAATCGGAGGAATTTGGTGAATGGAATTGAATCGATGGGGAGGGGATTGAAACAATCGCCGCCATCACCGGCGCCGATTTTGTCACAGGTTTCAATTGGGTCTCAGGGAAGTGGTGGCTCTTCTGGGGTCTCCGATTTGGATAGTCAACCTTTTCAAGGTAAATTTTTACTTCTTCCAGAATTTATATTTCTTATTTGTTATTTTAATTTTAATTGTATTTATTTTTCCATTATATTCATGCATTGCTTATTGAATATGATTGATTTGGATATCATACAATACATGGAGAGATGGTGTTTTTTTTATTGTAAAAAACTGGACTTTTATAAGCTTATTGAATAAGCCACTTTTTATATATTATCAAGCCAATACCAAACAGTCATAGATCATTGAGTGAATAAGTTTTGAGTTCGCTTAAACTCATTAAGCTGCTAACAGAAAGAGAACTTGTTCGTTTTCGATAGGAAAGTCGTCTGAATTTCGTTTTTTGAATATTTTTTCGTTAGTTACGAACAAAGACGCAAGCGAAACGCATGAACAATCGAAGCCGAAGACCCAACTCAAGGCACATTACATAGACCATCACATGATGCCCTGTGTTTCCACGAAAGGAGATGGTCCCGACGGCAAGAAGATCCAGGGGTTTTTGTACAGATACGGAAAAGGAGAAAATGTTAGGATAGTATGCGTTTGTCATGGTAGCTTTCTAACTCCAGCAGAGTTTGTCAAACACGGTGGTGGAGGCGAAGTCGAGCATCCGCTAAGACATATCATCGTTGACTCGTCTTCTGTTAGCTGATATCCGAGAATCCTTTATTTCGGTTTTTTTTTCTTCATTTGTGAATTTAGCAGTGGCATGAAATGTCATTGCAAAGTGTAAAAACAGTTTAGAGGACGGTTTTATGTTTGAAAAACAAACGTTATCAGAAAGTAGAGATGCCTAAAAAATTCTCGTTTTCGTATGCTTAGATTTGAATCTAATGTTTGTCGATTTCAACGAAATGACATTTTAGCCCCTTGAAACAAAAAGAAAATGACATTTTGGCCCTTGGTCTTTGATATTCTATTAATATTATATACATAATTTTAATTTCAATAGAAAATAAAATCAATGCCCCTCATTTATTTGGACTTACCGGAAAAACTTAACGGCCATAAAAGGAGGGACAAAAATCGTTGCGAGGTGTCAAACACGAGGGACAAATCTGTTCAATCAACATTTATCGTTTCTGTGATTTGTAGTTTTTGTAAGGTGTTGAGATTCTTTTTTTTTATGTGAGAAATTAATTAAAGTAGTCGTTTTAAGACTTTGAATTCATCTTTTAGCTAGGGGTTGTAAACAAGTTGAGTTTTAAACGAGCAACTCGAGCTCAAAGTCGTTTATTTCAAACTCGAGCTTAATAATTATCAATCAAGCTCGAGTTGATCTCGAACACAAAATAAATATTTCTTAACGAGTCAAGTTCCATAACACCAATGTTCGACTCAACTCTATTAAACTTTACAAGTCAAGTCGAGTTGAACCGAGCCGAGCCATTCGAGCACACTTTTTAGAGGCAAACATATTTATATGTTTACAAATTGTATAACCAAAATATAAAAATTATCGAGCTTGAGTAAATAAACAAGCTAATCGATCTCGAGTTCGAGCTCATAGACAAGCGTCGAGTTTAAGCTAAAACATTGAAAAATTATTCAAGCTCAAGCCCGACTTTGAAAAGGCTAAATGAGCTCGAGTCGAGCTGGAGCCTAGTATTATTTTTTCGAGTTGAGCTCGAATAACCTCCTATTCAATTCGATTGGGCTCATTTACACCTCTACTCTTAGCCATTTTTCTCATAATATTTCAAAAAATTCAGTATCAGTATCAACATCAGTATTGATATCAATATCAGAAAACATGTTTAAAAAAATCGAGTATAATTGTAGTAAGATCCCAAATAACATCTCCACTTGTTTGATTTCCTTCAAGAACCAATAGAGAAACATACGAGAATCGTTACACGTATATTAGCTTATAATAGAATCATTTTCACCAACAAAACCTATTCTACAATTTACACCCTTAAACCCTTCAAAACCTAAAACAAAACAACAATGGCGGCGGGGGCGGCCCCGCCTAACACGACGGAGGTTGCAGTTGTTTCAACCTCCGTACCACCTGTTTCATTGTCGGCCGAGTCGACAACGAATCCACCGTACAAACAACCGCCAAATGCAGCACCTCCACCAGGTCGTCGTGCGGGCCCGCATCCCACAACCCCGCCGTAAAAAACTCCTTCGCCCGCCCCTGCCGTAAAAGCATACACGCCCACGCCACGATATTGAACCCGTTCCCGTAAGACGAAAACGACGGGTCCAACGCCTTTTTATCGGAAATCAGCTCCAACAATACGACCCCGTAACTGTAGACATCTGCCTTATCGGAGACCCGACACGTCATTGCGTATTCTGGCGCCACGTATCCGAAAGTTCCGGCGACCCCGGTGGTGGCGTGGGTCTCGGAGGTCCCCAAAAGCCGAGCCAAACCGAAATCCGACAAATACGCGTTGAAATCATCGTCGAGTAAAATGTTGCTTGGCTTCACGTCACGGTGAAGAACCCGCGGAACGCATTGGTCGTGGAGGTACGCGAGGGCTCGAGCGATATCGAGTGCGATTTTGTGAAGGATTCGCCAATCGACAGCTCGGATTGATCGTTCTTGGATGAATCGTTCCAAATTCCCGCCGGGCAAGTAATTGTATATCAAGAACATTTCGGTTTCGCTGGCGTGATACCCAATTAGAGTCACGAGATTCGGGTGGCGGAGCCGCCCTAATGTCTTGATCTCGGCATCAAACTGTTGCACTCCCTGAAATCTTCCGACGGCTAGCCGTTTTATTGCCACCAAGAACCCCGGTGAGATCTCCGCCTTATAAGTAGCTCCGAAACCTCCATTTCCAATACAGTTGCTAGCATTGAAGCTGCCAGTGGATCGAACCACATTCTCAAACGTCAACGGGACCCCAATGTCGGTGAAAACCGTAACCTCCTTACGAACAGACCCACGACCGCCAGCACCGGATTTCGGCCGCCATTTGGTACAGAAGAACAGAACAATGAGCGCTAGCAGAACCGAAAATATAGCAGAGGCGGACGTTATGGAAGCGATCTCGATCGAGTTGAAGCCTCGGCCTCCCTTTGGTGGCGGAACCGGAGAACCAGAAAGATTAGCAAAATCACCGCCAGTGGGCTGATCGAAAGATGAAGTCGTTGGAGATATCCTACACGATTCCAAATACGGGTTTCCTAAAACACTGCTGCATTTCACCAAATTATCGTTCAACGGCAACGGGCCCGATAAGTTATTGAATGAGACGTTAAAATTCGATATCGATTTCATGCTCGAAAAACCTGCAGGAATATGGCCAGAAAGCTTGTTGTTGTTGAGCAAAAGAACTGTTAAATTCCTCAGATTCGCAAGATCTTCCGGGATCTCTCCGGATAAAGAGTTTGAAAAAAGTTCAAGAACTTTCAAAGACCAAACCTTTCCGAGACCAGAAGGAATCGGACCCGTTAAATTGTTGCCCGATAAAGAGAGATTCTGGAGATCCTTAATCTTGTTGAAAGAAACCGGTATCTCTCCGGTTAACATATTCTGACTCAAATTCACTGCAACAAGCGAACCCAACTCCCCGAAACTAACAGGAATCGTCCCTGATATATGATTCTCCGAGACATCCAAGAAAGTCAAACTCCGACAAGTTTGACCAATGTTTGATGGAATTTCACCAGATAACGCGTTTGAGCTCACATTAATGATCATCGCTTTCAATTTCGCACAATTTTCAAATAGCATTCCAGGAAACTTACCAGTAAGCTTGTTTTCGCCGGCAAGAAAAACATAAACCGTATTTTCCCCTGTGATTCTGATCGGCATAGAAGCCAACCCGCCGGTAAAATTGTTTCCGGCAATATTATGGATTATTGCAAGATCTCCAAGGTCGTTCGGAAACACCGGCATTAGGGTTTTCGATCCAAAATAGCGAAGGTATGGCACCGATGGATTAAAGGGTTCACAAGTACCGTAACTGAAAGTGGGCATTGGACCGGAAAGACGATTACCACTAACATCAAACACCCGCATACAAGAAACAGGAAGTTTACCGCTGATCTCTCCAGTCAACTTGTTCGAGCTCAAATCAAGAAACCGCAACTTCTTGCAAATGTCAAACCCTTTCGAGATTTCACCGGTGAAAAGATTCTGAGCAAGATTCACCATTTCTAAGCTCCCACAAGAACCCCAATTGTCTGGAAACTTTCCCTCTAAAGTCGTTCTAGGTGCCCATAACAGCTTCAGCTTCGGGAGAGTGGTGATTTCAGATGGCACGGAACCTTCAAAGTAATTGAACTCGTCTTCGGGAGCCAATTGGGCCGGCGAAGAATTGTCGCCGGATAAAGAAACATCGGGAATCGGATTTAACAAGTTGGAGAACACAAGGATGGAAAGATTCGAACAGCTTCCAAGCTCCGGTGGTATTGCACCGCTGAGACTGTTTCTAGAAAGATCCAGAACTTGTAGTGATTCAAGCCGGCCAAGTTCAATCGGGATTTCTTCTTGAAGCAAATTGGAATACAATAAAAGAGATTGTAACTTGGTACAGTTCCCTAAGCTTGCCGGAATCCCTCCGACCAAAAGATTGCCGGAAAGTTCCAAATGCTCAAGATTACCACAGTTGTACCCAATCTCCATAGGGATGTTCCAGGAAAACTGATTAAATGACAAATATAACCCCCTCAAATCTCCAAATCCATCAAGAAATTTAGGAATAGAACCATTCACACGATTTCCGGCAAGATTCAAAACCTGTAGGTTCTTGAATTCCGATACAGAATCCGGTATCTCCCCTGATATCTGATTAAACCCCAAATTAAGAACCCTAATTCTTCTCAAACCACTGAAATGAGGCTTTAACTGCCCATCAATCAAATTCCCTTCGAGATCAATCACTTCCAATTTCTCCATACCCCAAATTTCATCAGGAATTTTACCACTCAAATCATTGAAAGGAAGCGATAAAATTCTAAGTTCCGAAAGCTTCGAGATCGCAGATGACAAATTACCGACTAATTTAGCATTACGATCCACACAATTTTTCCTAATTCCAAATCCATACAAAGGAAACTGATCATATTTATAACAAGTAAAGAAGCCAGAGTTACCTCCACCGGTGATATTAAGAGCCACTACTCTCGAATTTGACCCACATGTAACTCCGATCCACGAACAATAATCCGAACTGCTCCAATTCCAGCTCATTAACACTCCTGAAGGATCCGAAACTGAGGTTTTGAACTCAAGAAGCGCCGATTTGTCTGAATCGCCGCCGAAAACGGCGGATGAAGTGAAGATGAACCAGATAGAAATTGATAACAGATTTAGGGGTTTCTGAAGACGACCCATTACTGGAACCCTTTATGAGGGTTCAAGAATAATTGAATCTAGGGAAAGAAGAGCTAAATTGAAGATCTGAGATGTGGAAAACGGGTTTTGTTCAAAACCCTAACCCTAAAATTGGTGTTTGGGAAGAGAGCATAGAGAACATGGAGAGAGATTGAACAGTGGGAGTTCATTGAGAAAACGCGTTTGTAAATTTGTTTTTAACATTTAATTCATTTTTTCTCCTTTTCCATTTATATATCTAACCTCTCTTGTAAATCATTTCATAAAAACTTTTAAAACATTTTTTATACATAATGTATTATTTATTAATACATATTATTTAAAATTCAAAATTACAAGTAAATTATATACATGTATAACTTATTAAACTTCATATTAAAATTTGCATAACTAACTGTAGATAAATATAATCAAATACATGATAAAGTTTTCATTTTAAATATATCTAAAATATAATTAGAATAATTATTGAGTTCTAACAGAATACTTATTTATTATCTTTACAAAAATTATATTATTAAACAATTTTTTTTTACTTCATCATTAAACTTGAATTAAATTATAATAAAAAAATTGAATTAAAAAATTACAAAAAAATGAGAACTTTTATATATGTTTTAATTTTTATGATATCTTTAAATTTATATTTTATTAAGAAAAACATTATTGTTTGCTTAAAACCACATAAATTCGTATTATAACATCGATAGAGACCAATTTTTTTTTTAACAAAATATTTAAAAATTGTTAATTATTAACATTTTTTCAATGTTATGGTTTGACAATAATTTTTTGTTGGATGAAAATGAAAGGAAGTGTTTTCGGGTTGGGTCGAAGTATTTCAAACTTGCTTTCGGTCAATAAGAGAACGTATATGTTTTTCTGGGTTGTGAAATTACGAGGTGCCTTGAAAGATTAGGGATAGTTTAACAGTTGCTAAATCGTTTGGTGTAGAATGATTAATTAGTTAAGAAGCTCTCGTGATATAGTGCAAAATAAAATATAATTGTTTTGGTAATTATTTACAACGAAATTAGGACGCTGAATGGTTAATGGAGGCACAAGATACTAAATCATTAAGAGGATTTTGAAACCATTAAGAGGATTTTGAAACCATTAAGAGGAAAACTTTTTTTTTTATCAAACAAGATTCACCTCTTAACGATTCATTCAGAGGCAGCCTCTTAATACAATTATTAAGAGGTAAACAAAAAACCCTTATTGTTATAATATTTTTTTATAATTAATTTTATCTCTCAAAACCAGTGTTTTAAATGAAAATAAAACCATTTAACCCTTAGTATATTAATATATTTTATTTTTATTTTAGTTTTTATAATTTGCTAGAATTGTGGTATTCGTCTCTATGATTTATAAGCTGTAGATTTCAATCATATGATCTGCAATTTATTGCTATTTTCGTCCTTATACTAATATTTACCTTGAAAGTATAAGGGATCAAAACAATACAGAATTGTAAAGCACGGAGACTGAAAACAACAATAAATTTTAAATCATACGAATGAAAATAACAATCAATTACAAACCATAAAACGAAACTCTAATTTCTAAATCCATATGAACATAAATTGCAGTTTCTAACAAACCACAGGGACAAAAAACATGATTTACTTTAAAAATTAAATGATTTTTTATTCATTTTAGAGAGGTTTATTATGAAAACATCTCTAACGGTTATGCATATAACTTCTTTTAAAATAAAATATATTTAAAATCAAAATTTCTGAAAAAATTACATCAAACTTCCTGGAAAATTTAGATTTTGGATGAAGTTTTCAAAACCAGTTCACAAATCAAACACATTTTTAAAAAAAGTAAGTAAATACGAGCTTTAGATAGTGGAGAAGAAAAAGAGCGAGTGGACAAATATTCGTTCTCATTCTCTTTATTTCATGTGACGGATCAGTGTTGTCGGAAATTTTTTAGGGGGGGTGGATTTCATTATGTGCATTAGAGAGATTTTAGATAAGTTTGGGGGTGTTTGTGCAAATATGATTTGTTTTTAAGAGTTTAACCCAAATGTTTTATCATACAGTATAGACATTATTTATATCCTTGTTTTTTTTACTGGTGGTAAAGAATTAAAATACTGATTCTGTCTCCTATATAGATATTTTCTACATTTAAAGACCTTTATAGTTTTTTAACGTACAAATATAGCATAGTTGTTAAAACATAAAACTCTTCTAAATCATCAAGATTGCTATTATAATATTGCAAAAAGTGTTCATTATGTGGCTGTTTCGTAATTGCTAAATTGTTTGATGCAGAATGATTAAGAGACTCTTATAATATAGTGCAAAATGAAATACAATTGTTTGATAATTATTCAGAATGAAATTAGGGTGTTGAATGGTTAAAGGAGATCTAAGATACAAAATCATTCAGAGAATTTTAGAATAATTAAGAGACATACTTGTTTTTTGTCAAACAAGATTCACCTCTTAACGATTCAAAGACTGGCTATTAATGAAACTATTAAGAGGTAAACAAACAACCCTTATAATATCTTTAATAAAATACTTAGATCACCAAAGTCAGTAAATTTCAATTTCCATTTTTAATAAAAAAGACATTTAATTAATGCCCTCTCTAATATAAAAAGAGTTAATTATATTTTTGTTTTTATGGTTTGTTAATAATTTTGATTTTGTTCAAGAATTGTGATTTCTGTTCTTATGGTTTGTTTAGAATTACATTCTTTAAAACTTATTTAACAAAAATAAATTCTAAGGTTCAAATCTAAGGAGGAATAAAAATCCTATTGTGGTCACGTAGGTTCAAATGCGGTGACTCCGGGCTATTTGCAAAGCAGGTGGTCGCCTTGGGATTAGTCGGCTCGCATAGCGGGTTGAATATTCAGGTTAATAAAAATAAATAAATAAATTCTATGAGTGTGAGGTTATTAGACGAATGATGGTATGAGAATATGAGTTAAAATGAGAAGTGTAAAAAAATTTGGACTTTTACGAGCCATTTACTAAACACTTACCATGTAAGCGCTTGCTGATATCACTCACTTTACTGGTTGAACATGAAAAAAAACCCCGAGAATATTAAGCGGTAATAGGCATACAAGCACTGAGAGTCTTACTCAGTAAGTGAGGAAAAAGACTATATCCGATAAGTGCTTACCAAGTTTAAGATGGTTACCAACAATCCATTCTGTTTGTCAATAATGTAAGACGAAAATCAAAGTGAGGGTGATGCTTCATGCCGTTAAACGCTTACTGGGTAAACATTCAGTAAACGGTCTCTTAATCACTTTTAATCTTAAACCAACCCATGATTACGCTTTAGAAAAGAAACGAGTCGGTGTTTCTCATTAATATTGATCTAATGGAACTCTTCAGTTACAAGTTATTTAAAGATGAAAATCTCTTCATGTCCTTATCACCATTAGGGATGCTCATGGGTTGGGTCGATCGGGTTGAAGACATTTGAACAACCTAACCCAATGCTTATGGTTTGGAAAAATCTTAACCAACTCAACCCAAACCAAAGTTCAACTCAACCCAACCCAACACGTACGGGTTGGTCGGATTGATACTTTGGTATATTAAAATATTCTTTAAACCTTGAATATGTTATTTCTCTATTCATAATTTCTTTTTTATCATCAACCATTTGATACAACTTATTCATATTTCTTACGTATATTACATTCAGTTAATTTTCTCAATATACATATATATATATATATATATATATGTTCACAGTTACTGAATGAGTTATATAGAGATATGAATAGATTGAAAATATGTGTATATGAAAAACATACATGATAGTGTAATTGTCTAATGTATATATTAATAGAAATTCAAAAATCATATTAAATTCAAGAAATAAAATGATATCGGGTTTATCAGGTTAGGTTCAAATAATAGTAACCCAATATCAATTCAATACATATGGTTTGACAATTTTATAACTCGATTACACATCGTTTTGCTTCAGATTAAATTATTTCGCGTTGGATTGGATTGATCGGGTTTTTAATCACCCCTCATCATCATAACTCTCATTTTTCATCGGAATCAAACATGTGATCATTATTCTTATTATTAAAATAAATAAAAAGTAAATTCAATTTTGGATTTTGCTAAAAATATTATTTTAATCCATAAAATATAAGGTAGTGTATTATTGATGTGTTATGTGGGGACTGGGGAGGTATGGTGGGGCCCACGAATACTGCTGCTTGATCGTGCAATGCCTTGACGGACCGTCGGCTTGCAAACACAAAAAGGTTAATGGTCCCGGTTCGGTACCTTAGATAACGGCTCAGCCGGTTAAGATCTCATATCCAACGGTTTACAACTATTCTCTCAAGTTTCAAGTAAGAAAAACCCACCAACCGGCCCATGCGGTTCGGTCTAGAAGCCCTCGTGTCTTGTCTTCTTTAATTAAATGTGGACCCCACCTCCGTATATATAGAACATAAAAATTTGGACCTTTATTTATTGTGTTTCATACACTTATTAGGGATGCTCAAAAATCCGACCAACTCGATCAATGCGATCCAAGCTAACGCGAAATAACTCAACCCGAAGCAACCTGATGTCTAATCAAGTTGTAAAATTTGTCAAACCGTAGGTATTAGATTGATATTGAGTTACTATTATTTGAACCCAACTCAACCCGATGAACCTGACATCTTTTTATTTCTTGGATTAAATATGATTGTTGAATTTTTATTAATATATATATATATATATATATATATATTAGACAATTACACTATCATGTATGCTTTTCATATACACATATTTTCAATCTATTCATATATCTATATAACTCATTCAGTAACTATGAACATATATATGTAAATTGAAAAAATTAACTGAATGTGATATACGTAAGAAATATGAATAAGTTGTATCAAATGGTTGATGATGAAAAAGAAATTATGAGTAAAGAAATAATATATTTCAAGGTTAGAAGAATATTTTAATATACCAAAGTATCAACTTAACGAACCCGACTAACCCGACCAACCCATATGGGTTGGGTTGGATTGCACTTTGGTTTGGATTAGGTTGAGTTAAGATTTTTCCAAACCGCAAGCATTGGGTTGGGTTGAGTTGCACTTTGGTTTGGATTAGATTGAGTTAAGATTTTTCCAAACCGCAAGCATTGGGTTGAGTT